GAGGTCAGGGCAGCAAACCTGTGGTCACAGAGCTGGGCTTCCTCTCTCGCCAACACTTCTCTGTTTGTCTCTTGCACACACTGCTTCTGTTTTTCTTCTGTCTCCCTTTAACTCAACTTAACGAGAACAGACAGGCTCTGATGCTTGCATGCTTTTAAACAACAACACACAGATAACCGCGCACACAGCCCCTGCATGTGTCACTGTCTGTGGCCAGTGGGAACCTGGTCGACTGGTTTAGTCCTGCAGCATCAGGGCAGTAAAAGAGGAGCCTGTGTTTCTGCACCGTCGGTATGGGTAAACATATCTATCTGAGAGGCGGCGTCGGTTTTACGTATGATTAGAATCTAATAACTGGAGTTACAGTTACTGGAATCGCTTCAGAGTCAAATCTCAGATGAAACTTATTTTTCGAGCAAGTGCATGAATGTAATCCTAATTAGAAATATGTACAGAAAACGGAAAATGTGTTCTGCTATGAATTCTGAATGTGCAGGTTTGACGATGCGACAGAATCAGCATCGGCTTTGATGTGTAAAATGGAATGATTTCACACAAAAACCTGCCACTGTGTCACCGTCAGTGTTGAATGACAGGAAGAACAGCTACCTTGGTCCTAACAGCAGGTACATTTTCCATTTAGTTTTATCTACTTTTGTGAGAATCCATACAGATAGATCATTTCTGCATTAAATAAGACCCCCATGTTTAAAGTGACAAATAAACAGGGAAGCCACAGTGTGTCAAACCTGCTCACTGGTATCTATGTACAAGTATTTCATTACTTCTGCTGGGCTGGTGCAGCTGATAGTGGAAACACTGTTCAGGAGGGAAGAAGTGAATGTGTCAACAGTGAATGTGAACCAGTTTTGATGCTAATTATTTTAGCTTTGCAAAGGGAAGTGTTACCTTTTTTAAAAATGTCCATTTTTAGCCGTGACAGCTGTCATACGGATCAGTCTGATAGTTAAAGATATGGATTATTTTTTCCACAGTGACGATGAGAAACTCACAACTCTCTCTTTGCTGAGCTGCGCCTGTTCTTGCTAACGGGCGGGACATCATCGAGGAAGTTTCTCTCTCTGTCATGATCTTTTTTGCATAATTTCCACTCCGTGTAATACGGGCTGATAACAGTCTGTTGCCTTATATGGACCAGCTGTTTCACATGCACACACACAGACACACACACACACGGAGGTCTATATTGCAAAAGAGTTCGAGTTTCACACCCTGTTCACGTATACTGCACAATGACGTTTGTGTTGACCTAACATGCGTGGCTTTTTACAGTCTCGTGCGCAGCTACAGATGGTGTCCAGGGAATAATAACAATACAAACAGCTGGACATTCACATATGTATATACACACACACACATATATATATTGAGACACCTGGATGCAGAAGAAGGAAGCAAAGAGAATCCTGGGTAATGACAATCCCACGCATTTCCTGTCCTTTCTGGCAGTTAATTTTAAGGGCTGGAGCATGCACATGTGCTGACTTACGAAACCTTGTGAGTGTGTGTGAGTCAGAAAGGGATGAAGCTGGCTTCCATTAACGCATGCCATGCACCTCCGTCATGACAGCATTCGTTCAGCTCAATCAGTTATACAGCCCAGTATCGCAAATCACTTACTTAGCTTTACAATCCGTACAGCATGTGACACCCTCCGTCCTTAGGCGTTCGATTCATATGGGGAAAAAGTCACACATTAAGAGGAAACTGAAACCACAGGAAGAGCAACCAAAGACTCTGTGGATAGCAGATACATACACCCTGTGGCTACCGTTGTGCCATCATGCAAATACCATAATTCTACCTTTAGCCTGTCTCTTATTTTCATGCTGGGAATGATAGTGATGACATGACGTGTTGTTAAAATTCAACCAGCACCGAAACCCTTTACTACAAAGTAAATATACATTTATTTCAGTACAGTTTTACTAGAGCGGTTCCACTTTATGCTACTTTGTGCTCCTACAATACTTTCGTAAGTTGGAGTTTGTAGTTATATTGCAGTTTAAGTTTATACATTATGATGCACTGTTATAGATTAAACTATATGGTGAAATCCACTTAAACCAGCCACAATAGTAAAATGCTATTTGTGATTATAATCTAAGCTATAATATGTCACTCACACGGGCCACAACAGTTTTACTTTGGACACTTTAAAGTCTCTTTTATGCAACCATGTATGTACTTCCCCTTATGATTTTGAATGCAAAACTTTTACTTGTTGTAATTTTTCTGGTGTGTCATTAGGCAGCTTTCCCCTGCAGGAACTGGCGTGAAGGTTTACAGGAACAGCAACATAATTGGCCCTTTCAGTCTTTGTGTTTGTGGTGTAGGATCCGACAAATAGTAGTTACTGCATGTAACTCCAGTTTAATGAGAACACAGGAAATAGAACAATTCAGAGTTTGTTATTTTAGGGTGAATTTTACATTGACGATGGCACTGCTAGAGAAAAAACTGCGACTTAACGAGGACATCAAGAGAACCTATCAGCATTGAGACGTGCACGTTTGTATTTCCTGGAATAATAGGTCCATTTCTCTACTGAAAATGGCGTTGAATGAGGTTCTACACGGGCGGTTCTTGCGAGTGGAAAAGATTCAAGCTGCCCTAAAGTGGCCCACAGGTTCCTGCAGTGGAAAACGATCGATTGTAACTTTTCCTGAGGCGTAGCATCTGAGTCCTTCATCCACATCGATCACCACTAACAGATGCAGCAGTTGTCCAGTTGGTGGATATGTATCTTGGCAAATATGCAAATAGTTATTACAACACATAATGTTTTTAAAGGCTTCATTTTTATGTGTTTCAAGATTAAAATTCATTTTGAGCATTTATACTTTAGCATGGGCCTCTTTTATAGAACACATTTTGACATTTCACAGTAGAAAAAGGAAAGATATAAGTCATTACATTTGATTTCTTTTAGCTGCTTCAGTTTAACATTCTGTTACTGCGCTACTGGCTCACTGTCACGGCTTATGCATAAATAGAATAAAGCCATTGTAAATGTTATGAGCATTTTAAATTAAATTAAATTTATTATAAAGGCCTGTTGTACTACTGCAAATATCCAGTCCAAGCCACAAGGCTGAAACAGCCAATTTTGAATAACTATCTCCAAAATAGTGCTATCTGTCACATATTGGGCTGCAGGTCTGTTGAGCTCCATGTGTGTTGTTAATTTTCACAATGCACTACGTGATTGTGTTAGTTCAATATTATCCGTCCAATTAAAAAGGACATCTCATTAATCAGGGAGCATTTGAGGACCTGCAGTTTCAGAGTTAGTGTTTCTCATTCATCATCTCCATTAGCTGGACTTTCCCTGTGGGTTGAGGGATTTTAAAACCGCTGACCTTCCTGTGACAAGCTCAGCTTTCTGACTGTCACGCAGCATCCGCCCTGCTGAGTAAATGGAGGGAAAGCACACATTCTGCGGAGAAATGTAACTGAGATGAGGGAAGGAAAACATACACAGAGGGTACAAGTGATGAGTTGGATTTCCAAAATATATGTTTTCACTTATTGTGCCATGTAGTTTACTGTAATCCAACGCATTTCAGTGGAATGACTTCTCTTGCATTGTGTCTATAGTTAGAACCGAACATCTGGAGTCCTAAACACCTGCTGTGTTTCTCATTGTTCAGTCCTGAGTGTCATGTTGTTTGTCCTCATAGCGGAAGAGATCATTTTTAGCTCTTGTTTCCTTACTGCTGCCCTCAGGGAGAAATGACAAACCTGTCACCTAGTTTTGAACAGGTTCATATTTCAACCTATATGATGCCAAAGCACACAAAAACCTACACATACGTAAAACTATTTAATTCTGGGGGGCTTAACATTTAAACCTGAACTGAAAATTATTTTCATTTCGCAACACTGTTGAAATACATTCAATGTACTACACTAATCATCTAAAAGCAAATTGTAAAAAACAAAAACAAAAGAAAAAAGAAAAAAAAAGCCCAGTTTCTGCTTTGATTTTGTGAGGAAATGGTTCTTTTCTCTATGAGTAGCAATGACTAATGCTGTAGCTGTGGTCCGCTGATGCTGACTGAATGTGGAGAAAACGATGGTGTGCAACACATCTGACTCAAACAGCTTTAGATTTACCACCACATGCCGCCTACATTAAGCCTCAGTCAGGAGAATAAGCACAAGAAAGACCCGAAAAGACTGTTTTGACTCAGATTTTCAACGGACTTCACCAGGACTCCTTTCTCTTCATCAGTGTTTAATCATCTGTGGCCAGCTCTGCGTCTTTTGCCTTTTCATTTATTGCTGTATGATTAAGCCACATGCAAATTTTTGTACCCTGTCTTAACGGGTGTTAACAGGAAGGATGCGTTGCAGAAAAAATGAAGAATTACACGATTTGCCAATCAGTCATTTTTTCTGTTCCTACCCTTCTAGCCTGAACACCCTCTTCTGCAACTTTCAGTTTTAGCTTGAACTTAACCTTTTGACATTAAAGGCTGGTATGAACTCTAGAAAGAAAAAAGGTGTGCTGCTCACAATGTGTGGTAAAGTTAATACCAGAAATATATATATATATAGTAGAACGTAATCAAAGGTCTACAAGAAAACAGGGAAAACATTTTAAATTTTGTAACTAACATGAAAACTTGAAATCAGCGGCAAAACTGAATCAAAACTAAAAAGCTGCGAGTTGAAAAACCAAAACAATGGGCTAAAGGAGGCTAAAATGCGAGAGATGCTGAATGGTCATTTTCAGTGGGTGCGTCTTTTTTCACGTTACACCGATTTTTTGATGTATAGGAAAGAAAATCTTAGTGCAGATTTACGTTTTCACCGCAATAATGCCCATCCATCCCTGTTCTATGACATACAACACCCACACCTGCTGCCAATCTAGAAACGCCAATTAACCATTAAGCTGTGAGGCGTCACTGCTAACTCCTGCACCACTATGCCTCCCCCAAAGTAACATGTCCTCCTTTTCCCCCAATCAGAAATGGAAGAAGAACTGGTTCGTCCTCTACCCTGCCAGCCAAAACGGCATCGCCCGCCTCGAGTTCTACGATGCGCCCTCGGGCGGAGGAGGCGGAGGCGGCGGAGGCTCGGGAAGCGGGTCCAATGAGAAAACCAGGAAGCTGGACAAGAAGATCATCCGCTTGTCAGAATGCATTTCCATTTTGCCGGCTTTGACAGAAAGCTGCCCCAAAGACAACATGGCAGCGTTTTGCGTGGAGACGAATGACAAGATGCACATGTTCGCTGCAGAAAAGAACGCCGCTAAGGACTGGATGGACACCATGTGTGACATTGCATTTCAGGTATCTTTACACTGTTTTCTTTGCTCTCCTTGTTGTGTGTGTGTGACCAATACGTTCATCGTAGTTGCTTTAGGAAATAGAGTCTGCAGTATGTGACTAAGAGTGGGTGGATGTGTTTTTAAGGCTTCCTCCATGTGTGTGTTTGTCTTTTGCTCTATCCACAAAATGCTTCTTTGCACTCACTGTCTCTGCTCTTTGGTCTACTGAACATAAATGTGACCAGAAATATTTACCCAGTGAAAGATAAAACTCCTAAGTTTTATGGAAAAAGTAAAAAAAAAAACAAAAAAAACTGCTGCTTTAAATTTAGTTCAGCCATGATGCAGCCTGATGCTTTTTCTTTGTGTACATATCTTCCAAATGTTCCCACATGCCCCTGGAGTGTCTGTGCAGGCCACAACTTCTATTGTGCGAGCCGACACACACACATAAACATGAACATAACACATATTTGCAGAGAGGAAGCCAGAGGGAGTTTCCAGGAGGAAGACTTCATCCGCTTCGTTCTCTGTTGCACACTCAGCCTCTTTAACTCTTCTCTCACTCTTTGCCCACTTTATACTTCAGTAGCAGTCGATTCCTTTTGTTCGCACAACACATACACCAACTGCTGAATGGAAACATCTGGGCAGAGTGTGCTATGACAAATCCTAGTTTGGTGTCTTTCTCAGCTGGTTGACTGTCCATGTCTGTGTGTCTGACAGGGTGGAAGTGGCAGCAGCAGCAGCGCTACAGATTCTAATGGGGGACCGCAGGACCTGCAGATGTCTGAAAACCTCATCTACTACTCCAGAGAGGAGGGTAAGGACACTAAGTAGTCCAGTCTTATAGTTTCAGGGTCATAGATAAATAAAAAGTAAGGTATTTCACTTAAATCTAAGTTAAGACTTTCTTGGCGATGTTTTTTGAAGACCAACACCTCTGTCTTTGCAGTGAATGAGTTCTGGGTGAGCATTCAACGTACAGAAGCATCCGAACGTTGTGGACTTGCAGGAAACTACTGGCTGAAAGCTGAAAACGACATCTTGATCCTGAAGGAGCCAAAGACGAAGAGGAACATTTTGGTGTGGCCGTACAAGCTGCTGAGGAGATATGGGAGAGATCGGGTGGGTGCCTGGTGCCCGGAAAAACACTCAAGAGTAATGAGAAAAATCTTTTCAGGAACTAGAAATGGGTTGATATAACGCGCCTAATAGGTACATGGAGAGGAAGTTTACGTGGTTGAATTTCAGGCCTGGCTGCTTGAATGATCAGACCTCAGAAGTGCAAATAGAAACAGCATGTATACCTGTGGTTGGGTTATCGACGTCACAGTTTATATTTAGATTTTGAGCCTGTGGTTGCTTTTGTATCACTTTGATTCTTCAGAGCTCCGGATTAGGACCTAAGACTGACAGATGACCTTTATGTGTGTCTGGTTTGTCTGCACAGGATGCTTATTTATGCCTACGTCAAGACTGAAACTAAGTTTGAAGATGTCTGCATACATTTGCATGCAAGACATAGAGAAGAGAGTTGATCATTTCTGCTTTTGTGAAAGAGAGATGGCAAGAATTAGATGTCTAAAAACAGTAAGAGTGAAAGTAGAAAATAAAGTAGATAAAGGAAGTATGCATTAGCTTCACTTACATCAGACCCATCTTGCCATTTATATTTATGTTGTCACATACTTTACCATAAAATGCATTCCAACATTTAACTAATCTTTTCTTCCCTTCTTTCTCAGGTGATGTTTTCTTTTGAAGCTGGCCGGCGCTGTGACTCAGGCCCCGGAAACTTCACCTTTGAGACCAAGCAGGGCAACGAGATCTTCAAGTTGGTGGACCAGGCCATCCAGTCGCAGAAGGCTCTGGCGGAGGAGCGTCACCTCAGCTGCCCCATGAACTTTGATCCAGAGTGCCCCGCGTCCCTGCAGCACATACGCAACGCTGTTCCTGGTGGTGTGACGACGGGAAGCGGAGACAGCAGCAGCTGCAGCAGTCGGGAGGCGGACGGCGATTCGGGCGGCAGCAAACCAGGCTCGGCTGATGGTGTGCTCGGAAAGAGAGAGGGAGGAGATGGAGGAGTAAGGGGGCAAGGAAGTGGAGGAGGAATCAAAGGGAGGAGTTTACCAGAGCCTCCAACAATGTTGGGGGTTCTGGGAGGAGGAGGGACACCTCCACGGTCTCCTAGAAACCATGCAGGGAAGGTTGTGTCCTCAGCTGATGAACATGCAGGTCTTTATTCTGAGCCAGCAGATTCAGTCCGTCTGCCTCTGCACAGCGCTGACTGCCTCTATTCTGACCCAGTGGACAGCATCAAGGGTCAGAATCAAACCAGCAACCCAACCACCCCACCAGTGCCCAATCCACGCCTCCGACCAGTAGGAGACGACAACTCGGGAGGCGGTATCCAAGATCATCATCACCACACAGGCAGCAACCACAGGAAGCCACCTGACCTGTACTCACACGTGTACGACCGGATCAGCCTGGAGCTGAACCAGAAAACAGGCGCGCTGAATCTGAACGGAGCTACAGGGGGAGGAAGAGGTGGAGGAAGAGGGGTCAACAGTAACAGGCGACCCCCAGGAGGTCAAGCAGAAGGTGCCTCATCGCTTCCAGCTTCTCTGGAGCATATATACGATGAACCAGAGGGCTGCGCAAAAGGAAGCATCAGCTTGCCTCCAAGCTCAGGGATGACTATTTACGATGAGGCCCGTGCAGAGCCTCACAGCCAGAGGAGGCATGAAGAGGGGGCGGCTCCATCAGGACCGGAGGGGAGCTACAGCACTCCTACTCAGGGGAAGCCGTCGGAGCCCCATAGACACTCTCCTCCACAGCTGGGCCTGAGCCGCGGCACACCACAACCTCCGACACCCAGGTGGCCCAAACCCGTCACTGCTCCCAAGCCGGGAAAAGGCGCTTTTGCTCGAAAGGAGCCGGTGCCGCTGCCCCCTGGGAAACACGGCGGCCCTGGCAGTAATGTGAACAACAACAACAACATTTGGGGTGATGGTGGAGAAGGGAGGGAGCTGTACAGCAAAGTGTCAAAACAGAAGCCTCTTCCTGCTAATTTGTGGTACAGCCAGCACCATCAGGCGCGACTGAGATCACCTGATATCATCTATGACAACCTGGGAGATATTTGACGTTGCTCTTTGTCTACGACGCTGAACGCTGTGTTCTTCCAGCTTTTGAGAGGACTAAGCACATTTTACATTTCTTCCATCTGTGGACTGGAATAATTATTTGAGACAGTCGATTCATTCGGAGTGGATTAGCTCACAACTATGAGAAAACCACATTACGGCTGCATTTTGATACATGGAGTGCAACTATTGTAGGGCCACCCTGTGTGTGTGTGTTTGAGAAAGAGAGAGCGAGTGTTTGCATGGTCAAACCCATAATTGGCGTACCAAGCCACAGTGTGGTTGGAGCCAGCCACTTCACTTGAACACACACACACACACAAACTGTATGGCTTTGCCAGAGGGACCTCGGCCTACGGGCTTCACTTTAACAAGCTGAGAGAGTGGCTTGGCTCGAAAAAGTCTGCTGTGCTTATGAAGTGACTGGGAAACATGTTTTTGCGCTGCTGCTTTTCTGTTTCTCTGAAATATGAGACAATGTGACAGCCAGGAGTCATTACTGGACAGGTTTGGAGTATCTCTGAGACTTCACCAAAAGGAGCTGATCCTTTTAAGTTTGTGTTTTCTGGACTGACTTATTGCCTTAAATCCTACTGATACTAGGAGATTTACTTTTTCAGCCCAGGACACTAACGTAGGACGTGGTTGCATCTTCGGAGCCAGCATTTGAAGAAGAAATCAACAGTGGTGGCACTGTTTTGGAGGAAGCATGAAAAGTCGGACTTGGGTCTTGAAACGGACATAAAGGGGTCGTAGGGTCACATGGTTGTCTTATGGTCAATAAATCACAAGGGCCACTTCCTGCACAAGATAATATTTTTGGAATTTTGTTATGTTTATGTATAGAAAAACTAAATATGAAACTAATCAATCCCCGCAATGTGCTAGTATGTATGTGTCAGAAACAGCTGTGCTGTGTGTAAATATAACTAATAATAAAGTGGATCTATAAACTTTAAATATTTCTTCTAAGTGATCTTTAAACAAGAGAACTCCCTTAATTGCTACATTCGCACGTCCCCGTCAGCGTGTTTGTCCTGCCAGGAGCCAATCAGACGCTGTTATTCCTGTTTAAAAGACTTTTCTGTTCTGGACCAAACAGGACAGTAAAACAGTCTGACCTCATCCTAAACTTCTCTCCCTCTGCCACGCTCTGTTTTTGTTGTTTCAGTCGGTTTCCAACCACTTAATCACACTGTTAAAGCTGAGCCGCAAGAAACGAAACAAAGATGTTCTTTCTTGCTTTCTTTTCTTCCTTCCTTCCTTTCACCATCTCTGCATTAATTCTGTTGTTCGGTTGCTCCGGTGACCGCTAATGGCGGCTGGTTTGTGTCGGACACGCTGTGCATTTCAACTGAGAGAGATACCGTAAGAGGAAGGAATACAACATGGAAACAGAAGAAAGAAAGAAGGAAAAAACAGCTAATTGACATTTTGAAGAATGCTGGAGAGGGAAGGGAACACGTCGGTGTTTATCCTGAGCTGAGGATGACGAAGGAATGAAAAGAAAAGCGGAGAAAAGAGATGAAAAAGATGCTGACATGATGAATGCTGGCTGGATGAACCTGTCTGTGTCTGGTTGGCTTACAAACAGGTACAGACTGTTCCCTTCACTGCCGCCGCTGCTCTTTATCCCCTTCATCCCTCTTTATCCCTCTCTTTTTTCAGTCTTTATTTCCTCACCTGCTGCTCAAGTACTTTCTGGGCAGGAATAGTAACTGGATTACATTTTAAAAGTACATTTCCTAACTCTCCTAACAACTCTCTTTCTTTCAGACAGAGTGAGGGAAGAAAAACAGAAAGTAAAAGACCAGCGGCAAGGTTCTGTCTTTGTCATTAAACTCTGGGTGAACTCAATGGGAAAAAAAAAGCCCATGATGGGGAAAGGGCACACACACACATGGCGAACAGTACATTGTACTGTTTTCATGATGTCAACATTTTCTTTGATATGGGTCAACGCTTCCTCATTGGAATATTCAAAACAAGCTGTTTACTCATTTACAGCGTGTGTTTGTGTCGGACCTTACACACATCCTGGTCATAAAGTGGAAAGCAAATGGCAGTGACCTGGATTCCGGCTCCTGTTTCAATGACTGCTTTATCTCAATCTCAATTATTCTTGAACCATTTATTTTGCATTTTATACACGCAAACTGGAATTTTCCTCTCTGATATTTTACCGTGATACTCAGGCAACTATTTAAATTACACATAGTGGGACAGAAATGGCTACAAGGGAGAGTTAAGAATGTAATTTTAGAATGCAAATTGTACTGGACTGGTTTTGACTTTTATATTGAAAGACAAATAAAAAATTGATTTTGGAGGCCATTTGTGAACCATGTGAACATTTTTGGATATAACAGAATCCAACAGGAGAATAACAGTTTATTCTAAACCACATTGGCTTATCTTTCTTTATAAATAAAATGAATTTTAATGACACATTGGAATAATATTTTCTGTTCACTTTAACACTTCTTCTTCTTTTTATTTGTCTTTCTTTACTCCTATAGTTTTAGGTGATCTTCTGCTCTGTAAGACAAAGAATGTAAAGAGGACGCAAACTGGCTATTTTACAAATGAAGACAGTGTTAAGGAAAAACATCAAATTAGGTGTCAACTCTAAATGAGATTCAAAGTTTCTGGGGTTGATCCACTCAACACTATTCTAGCAAAGGCTGTTTGTTTGATAGCAGAGGTCAAGGGTCAGCGGGAGTGATGATAAATGCGGCACGTGTTAACTATCTAAATACGCAGAACTAGGATTGTGTGTGAGTTCGATAAGTTAGATTTGTTCTCTCATGTTCTGTCTCCGTTCCTACTCCGTAACTACTTAAACCAATCAGCCCCCATTCTTTCCATTCATTGTAATTCTGACTCGTTTCCTTTCAGAACCCCGACACCTCTGCAAGACGTAGAATATTCACATAATCACTTTCTTTCACTTGGTTAAATAAGTGAAGTAAACTTACATCTGTCTGTTAAATATGAAGCCGGTTAGCTAATCTTAGTCTAAAGACGGGTGAGAGGAGGCGAACGGCTTGGTTCTGTCCGAAGGTAACAAAGTCGATGTAACAGCATCTCACAAAGTGACTCATCATGTCTTAATATGTTCAGAAAGCTGTTAAAATAACACCTTGTGGCTTTCGGGTGTTATGTGCTGTGCTATTATTTGGACACATCTAAACCAGACTCTAAAGCTAAACCAACTGCAGCTTCCTATTTAAAACACACACACACACATATAAGAGATGCAATTTTAAAAGCTTTTACATTTTCAATACAATAAAATTAATCATTGGCACGACACGCCGACCGATTCAAGAATTGCACTGTAAAACTAGAAACGTTTCAGATCGTGTTCCTGTGTGACAAAAAGCTCCTCTGTACTTTCTGTCACCTCTTTTCCGTCCTTCTTCACATTTTTCTCCTCATCTGTTTTGACCTTTCACACATCTGCAGAACAGCTCAGCTCACACTGTGTGTGTGATTGTTACAGGAAAGTATGTGTGAAAATGTGCAAACAGGTTGTGTATCGAGGTGGGACTGGGTGTCATGCATGCATTACTGCCATGTCAGCTTGTTTGCATTCATGTGGAGGTATGAAGTGTGGCAGCCTTGTGCACAAAAAGCCAATCAGAGACTTCAGAGTTTCAGATCAACTTCTGTGAGTTTTTGGAGAAAAGTCTAGTCAGTATGCACCACGGTAATATTTTGCAACAAGATATATGACACTAAAAGTGTCACGAGTTGCTGATTAACATCATAATGTCCAGTATAGACAGATATGCTGTCTTTATGTAACAGACACGACTCGACTTGTATGTGCGTGGGCGTGTTTGTGCGCCTTTTCTAGCAATATGACTCTCTCTGGCCAGACAGTTTTATCTGCAGGTTTGAGGTCTCTACATTTGTCCACATGCAGACGCTGCACAAACACACGCAATCGTCTTTTATCGTATCAGCCTTCCTGTCCCCTTCACTGTCTATCCTCAAAATCGTGTGACTCTCTCCTTCCTGTAAAGGTCTCTGGCTCGACTGTGCATTTAAAGGTCAAGTCAGACTTACAGTAAGAGAGCAGAATCGGTCCGACAACAAGAGGCACTGAAACTAGGTTTTATACAAACAGGTGCTTTTGTCGATACTGGAATGTTTTCACGTGGTGGGAAAAAAAACATCTCTTTTCTTAAAAAATGAAGACATTGCTTTTAAAATGAGAAGTGATCCTTAGTAGTGGCATGATTGTATGTACAATGAATTTGTTTAATAAATGTACGAAAAGAGAGAGAAACTAAAGGAAAACAACTTCCTGGTTTCGCAGTTCAGTTGAGAGCAACAACACACAGGTATCCAGTCAGCTAACATCTGTCCAACTGGCACATCAAAATGACTACTTTTCATTCCCTAGGTATAAGGTTTGCTTTTCCTGTGACCCATGAGAAAAAGGATGAACTCTACTCTGATGCAGCATCATGTAATGTGTAATAGACCGCTGCTATCTGTGACTACAATGAGTGCGCCTTCAGGCTGCTACACTGCGTTTTTAAAACTAGAGAAGCTGGTTCACCAGCTCTCTGTCTGACTGCTGCTGAGGCAGACTGGAGCTTTGACTGCATGGTTTCGATGACAGATTATCACTGTGGCTGTAGTCATGGCTGCGCTTTGACAATTGCAGTTCTACCTGTGACACATTAGTTTTTAATGTGTGTAACACTGACTACAAGCAGCGGTCGCGTGTTTGCAGGGATGGCTGAGCGGTATATTGGTGTCACTGTATGGAGTGTGGTGGTAGCACATCTGTCGCAGCACCACTGCAGCTGGATACTGTGTCTGCAGAGTCTTTTATTTAACTGTAGTAGAAGTGGACTGTTCATACGGATCAGAAGGACTGTAAAGCATATTGCAAAGGAATGCAAAAGTATTCCTTCAAAACATTTTGGGGGTTTAATTGGTCGTTTGACGCAAATAAACACAAGCAAATCGGCATTTGAATTTTACTGCACAACATTTTGCTACTTAGGGGCTGTAAAGCAAGCTGTAAACACAACCCTGACATAGTACGGAGTTATTATGACGACTGAACGAGTTAGAGAACAATCGCCAGTTTGCACTTCTACCAAGAAGTTAGAATATTCTGAGCAACTCTAAATCCAATAGTCACTCTCCTTGAGCTCTAGTTGGTTCACTACAAACACAACAAAGCAAAACATCTGACTGACAAACATAGCTGATAACTTTGTCTGCTTGCTGTGTGGTGCTAAGCAGGCGGCCTACAGTGGGCTACTGAAAACAAAATTGAGGGAAAACCCTAAAACCAAAACAAGAACGATTTAGCATCATCTAACAAAGCGTTCAAGCTAGGAATCCCTAATATCTCGCTCGTTTTGTATTTACTCCTCTGACATTTATCGTCAAGGAAATTTGGTTTGTCAACATCAACATGCTTCATATTCATTGCCAGATGTGACGACGTTCCCTTTCAAACCTGTCAGCTGCACTTCTTAATATAACACAACGTTGAGCTGCGTTTCCTCATTCTTTTAAAGATTGCGGGTACATGTAATGCAGACACCTTTCACTTGCGCATATCTGACAAGGATTTGTGCGTCCCACCCTGAGACGCTATCTGAAACTGTCCGGTTTCCTCTCGTGTTTGCCTCTGCAGACCACCAGCTTTTATTTTTAGCTTTGCGTGGGCAACTCATTCAGTCATGTCTGTCTGAGGTGGAGCTTCATTCACTCTTTCGCTCGGCTTTCTGCGCTACCTAAAGGAAATGACAGCGTCTAATTCACATTGGCGTTCCACTGCCTTGAAACTAAACGGCATGCTTGAGCAAGTGGCCGTGATTGATGGTTTCAGTGATTTTGCGAGCTAGCTGAAGTGATACCTGTGTGCTGCATGGCGAGAGAGTTACCACAGATCTAACTAAGTTCATAATTTTGGTGCATTTTGT